ATGCCACAGCGTTACAAAACACCAGGAGTAAAGCTTTGTGTGGCTTTGTGGGACAGATATCGCTGACGGAGCACAGACTCGGTGACATCCCTGACATGCTTGAACAGCGTGAATTGTGAATGGTGGGAAAGATGAAAACCCGCACTGTGCCGAGAAAGCGATGAGTCACCGCGCTCTCCTCTGAGCGGCGTTATTAGTGCAGAGCTGCAGTAAGTGTGTTTCCTCCACTCCGAGGCCAAAAGTTTTACTGCCTCCTCGCTGCTGTTTACTCAAGGCAGAGCGAGCGGCGGCGGGAATGTGTGCTGTGTGTGCTCAGGGAGGCTGCGGCAGGACACCACGCCTGCAGCAACACACACAGATACAGTGCCGGGGCTCTCGGCACCACTGTAATATGATAGAAGCTCAGATAAATATTAGTTTCGCTTTATTGGTGTTGTTGACTGAGTGTTAGTCATGTGTGCCGAGTGCGTCACGAGAATCATGTGGCACAGGATGGCAGAATTGTGTTTGTTGTTCTACTCTGTACTTTCTACTTCCTGCTTTGTATTTTAATTGGCCGTGTATTCAGCACCAACATTAAATCAACCAGCCTAATACAACAGCCCTGAAATACATCCTGCCTTCACAAATTTGCAATATTTTGTGAATCACATGTATATTGATGGGGCCTACTAAATATTAGAAACGCCTCTCAATAATGACTGCTTTAACCTTCCTGGTGGTGGGATTTATCACAGAGCTGTTGTATCAGAGGGCATTAGATGTTCCTCATAAGCCAGTTACAGTTAAATCTTACTGAATCTGCAAATCCAGTTGTTCTCACGTCTGTTCATGCGGTGGTGGAAATGTTTCCCACTCATAACTATATTATCTGTATTAGTTCTCACAGAGCACAACAGATATCTCAGCGGAGGTGCATGGTTTGCCCTCGTCCCCTGCTGACGGTGGTGACTCCCTGACTTTTCCTCTTTTGCCACCAGCAGGTCAAACATGACACATAAACTCTGTGAAATATCCCAAATATTGACGTTGTCTGTGTAGATTTTAAGTTCAGTTCATGTTAATTCCAGGAGCTTCAGGAGAAGGCAACTGGACCTCTCTTTAAGGTTCTTGAAGACGTTTCACCTCTCATCTAAGATGCTTCTTCAGCCTTTTTTAAAAGGCGACTGCACAGAGGATTGTGGGTCAGAATGGCCAGAAATGCCTGTTGGCTTGCATACTGCAAAATCCGACTGGATGTAACAGAACATGCTGGTGTTTTGGGCGTCCTGTATGTATTAGGACATACTACATATTTTTCTGTCAAAATATATAGTATAGAAGTAGGGATGTTGGAATGCATGCTTTGTATCTCCACTGAAAATTAATGATTTTTTTTTCTCCACTTCTTCCATGAGGTTTGATGTTAGTAAAAGGTTGTATAAACTGCCACTGTGCGACTTTTCCTTTAGCGCCAATTATCAGGTTAATATTTGTCCACTACTTGGCTTTATGACCAAATACACGTAATTCACGACTAATAGATCCCATCATCCTCAGCTGCACTTTGCGTTTAGTGCTGAAGTGCTAATTGGCAAATGTTAGTGTGCTAATGCTTACAGTGGTGGAAAGTAATTAACTTTATTTACTCTACAAGTAAGGCTGCAAGGTGACTCAGTGGTTAGCATCAAGAAGGTCGCCAGTTCGCGTCCCAGTGGGGGCACCAGGATCTCTCTGTATGGAGTTTACATGTTCTCCACGTGCAGCGTGGGTTCTCTCCGGGTTCTCCGGCTTCCTCCCACAGTCCAAAAACATGTTGAGGTTAATTGTCTCTAAGTGTAGCCCTGTGATAGACTGGCGACCTGTCCAGGGTGTCCCCTGCCTTCACACTGAGTCAGCTGGGATAGACTCCAGCCCCCCCGCGACCCTAGTGAGGATTAAGCGGTGTATAGATAATGGATGGATACTCTACAAGTACTACAGTACTATACTTAAGTACATTTTTGAGATGCTCATACTGTTGTGCTACTTTATTCTTTTTCTGTTTTACATTTTAGAGGGAAATGTTTTTAGTGCACTCCATGGATTTGACACCTCGAGTCGGTTGTTATGGTGAAGATTTTACACAATGGATAATATCAAAACCTTTTAAAATACAACACATTGTTAAAGATTGTCAAACCACTCATTTTCAGCCTTTCTTACAAAAAGTAGTGTGTAATCAGGGTCACATTTCAGAAGTCTATGAGTGATTAAGAGCTCCACTAAATAACACATTTTCCCTCTAACCTTCTTAAATGGTTTATTTCAGTAAATGTTCAAATAATCCAATATCTGAAAGATGACAGAAAAAGTATAAAAACTCAAAACAGAGTTATGTATAAAAACTTTTTTTTATCCTGCAAATGAAATTTTATGTAAAGTAGTTTAAACTGGCGCCACTAAATACTAAACAGGCTATTTTTACATTGCTGTATTGTTACTTTTACTCAAGTGAAGAATGTGAACACTTTTTTTTTTAGCACCAAGTGTTTGTTTTTGTCTTTGAGCCACACAGAGTGACTGCAGACTACATCAGTCTTGTTTCAAAAGAAGTCACAGTCACCGAATAACTCAGAAAGGCATGTCTGTATTCATCACTAAGCACAAAGGCGTCTTTATGATTTCCTCTATTAAATCCCCACCTCACGTCTAAAAAGGTGGAGAAAGATCTCTTCATTGGCTACAATGCAGCTGCAGTTCTGTTCAAAATGCTATAATCACTGATGTCATCATGTGCCTTTGGCTGCAAATGGAGCCGCGATGATGTCTGCCGGTTCATTAGTGCTAATTCATGTAAAGTGAAGGGAAGAGGCGAGAGAAGAAAGGACGAGGATGAAAGAGACTGTAATGAATAAGGACTGAAGGAGGCTGGTGTGAGCTTATGCAGATCCCTCCACTCCATTCAATTTTTATTTCCCAACTTCATTTTACACAAGCGCTGGCAGAATTTTGTCCCTGTGCTCGGCGATTCATATCAGCCAGCAGTCTCTGATCTTCATGGCTGGGTTTATTGACAGTGTGGTGGAAAACTGATTTCTGTGCAAATCATTCGCGGCACTTTATTTGATCAGGCGCTGCAGCTCGATGGAGAATATTGCCAATGTGTGAGTTCATTTACGCAACTGAAAGCACATCTTCTCTGTGAGACATCTGAGCCACAGCACAGGAAGGAGTGACATTTGCGATACTTTACATTGTTCCCTGTGGACCATTTTTCATAATCAGGACTACTGTAGCTCAGATGGTACAGCCATCGATCGAAGGGTTCGTGCTCCGACGCTCAGCTCCTCCTCCTCCTCCTCCTCCTGTCCATATGTCACAATGTTGAAGCAAGATGCTGAACTCCAAACTGTAAAACTACAGCCACACTTGCAGCTTTTTAAGGCTGCACACTTGACACCCAGCAGTGCATCGAAATAAAAGCTAATATCACATGCTTGCAAAACAAAATCATGTTTAGCAGCAAGTGTTTACCATGCTAAGCATCTTAGTTTAGCATGTTAGTGTGCTAATATTTGCTAATTAGACTTTATAAAGATGAAGAAAGATACAGGAACAATCCAATCCAAAAATCCAAACCCTTGTTTTCTTCCAAACAAAAGTCCAAGATGAAATGTAGTTAAAAGACATGAAAAGATGGCTGATGAAATTCAGGAGCATGTCCTTTGGTCAGATGAAAACAAGATAAATTTGTTTGGCTCAGATGTTGTCCAGCATGTATGATGTAAACCTGATCGGGGCTAACACAGTGAATGCATAGTCCTGACAGTGAAGTGTGTGTTGGGGAGAAAACATTTTAAAATATCTAAACTGTTAGTTTTTTCAATATTACCGAATGCAAATACCTCACTGTTCAACTTAGAAGTAGTGCAGTTACTGTAAGCTGACACAATCTGAATCAGTTGAAAAGTGATATTGCACAGTAGTGTGGTGTACTGTAACCTTTCAGTTCCACCTCTACATAATAGAAACACCTACATAGGAGGAATAATATTGTCGTTAATCAATTCAACTTTAAATATACAATGACCTTTATTAAAAGTGATGATTCCCGTATTATAATGTTTGAAAAGTGTTTTTTTTTTTTTTGTCATTCCCAAATTATCATTTCAACAATCGAGAATCAGAAATCACATTAAACTCATGTACACCATATTAAAATGAGTTTCTATAGTAGGTATTTGGGTATTTGGACATAAACTAATTGAATAAATTACAAAATATTCCTGGTGCTGGTGTTAGATTATAATTAAAGAGATGTATCATGAGCTAACTTGAATGTCTATACTAAATTTTAGTAGAGATATTTCACTAAAAACCACAAAAGCGAACCTGATAGTGGCACTTAAAAGTCAGAGGATCACTAAAGTATAAAGGATTCATCCTCTGATCATGTATAGCTTCACCAAATTTCATTGCAATTCACTAAACAGTGTTTGGTCCCGACAGCGCCGTCCTCACAGTCATAAACTGAATGTTGCTAAAAGTCATTCTTCTTATACAAAAGCAGCTGTCAAATGAGTGGTATGTAGCTGTGAGTTCAGCTAATGGAAGGTGAGAAATGTGGGTGCTGTGCTCTGAATGTCAGGCTGGAGCCTAATTGGATGGTTGTTAAGCCACTGTGGAGCTGTCAAATGTCCTCCAATTACTTGTGCTTAATACTGAAAATCATTGTCTTATTTTAATTAATGCTCTTTAAGCTGGCCATAAGGCAGGTCACATTAACTGGGATTAAACATGACTTCTTCCTGCAACCCATGAATATTCTTTTATTAATGTCAGATATGTGTTATTGTGTCTGTTTGACCTCATCTAGGGTTCCTGAGAGCGTTTTGTTGGCTTCCCCAAGAAACTGAAGACTAGAAGAGGAAACACTGGAGGAACGCTGGGGGGTTTGCAAAGTTCTAAGTATGCCAACGCTAAAAGAACAACAACCCAAACATTAGCAGAACAGCACAGAAACATGAGTACTTTGCAGCATAATGTAGTTGTTGTTGGTTTCCTCCATGCAACACATTTGCTTGGCTGATTTCACTGGCTGTGCGTAGACTGAGGGCCCAATGGAGCGGATCGGGGAGGATCTAAACCTCTCCTATCTGCTGGAACATGAGCGAGATATGATCCTGAAGGTGCTGCAGAAAGACGAGAAGCTGAGGAAGCGAGAGGAGAAAAGGATACGGTGAGGACTTCGGGGAATCACAATTTAATCTGATGTTCGTCTCGTTGATTTTTCTTAATATCCTGTGTTCATCTCCCGTGTCTGTCCCGCAGGAAGCTGAAGAATGAGCTGCTGGACATCAAACGAAAAGGTTCCCGTCGGCAGCAGGACTTGGGGGAGCGACAGTGCGCTCGCTGCCTCAAGGCTTTGGGGCTGATCTTCGACCGCGGAGATCTGTGCGAGGATTGCCAGCTGCGAGTCTGCAACGACTGCCGCGTTACGCTTCCCAAATCACGGCAGTGGAGGTGCAACGTTTGTGCCAAAATCTCGTAAGTGTGATGCCTGCAGGGACCTGAGCGATGTTTGGAAAAGGAATGGACTCCAGATGGTTTTCTTAGTGGATAAGTGGCAGCACATCTGTCTCCATTTGGCTGGGAGGGCATCAGGTGTCTCACTGCTGTGATCTTCAGTGATTTTTTCACCATTCACTACATGTAGAAGTAGTTAGTTACTCTAAATACATTTGAGGATTATCCAGGACTAAAAAAACACACACACATACGACATTGCTTGAAGTATTGAATATCTTCTCTGACGTCTCTTAAACTTACTCGGCGGCGCTGTTGTCACATTTGACAGTTTTTCTGGCTTTTCTTCTCCATGAAAGAATGCGCACTACATCATTCTCACCGTATACAGCCTCGTTTTTCTTCTTCTGCCTGCGTCAGGCTGTGGTGTGATTTATCAGAGTTTCTCTGAGCTCTGCTTACAATGATAAATCTTTCCATCGCTGCTCTGACTCTCGCTTATTTGTGACTCTTGTGCATCTGGACAGTGCGATAAGTCAGGATGACCGTGAGTTTTTAATGGCATTTTAAAATGTAATACAGCTGATTTTGATACGTTTGGAGCATAACATTGAAGGGCAGTTCATGTTATCTGTTTTTGTGTGATAAAAGGCACCGTCAGACTCACTTTGCAAACCTCAGGGTTGACAGTTTATTAGATACACCTTGTTGTAAGTAGTGCAATCTAATATATACTCACAGATTCACTGTTATTTTGTCCAACCCATTGAATTCAGGGATGGGAGGCTTAATAACTGAGGGATTTGTTGTTACTGGTGTTTTGGACAACCTTAGTTTGAGTCTTTAGTATTCCAGACCAGGAAGTAATGTACATCTAGCCCTGCTTCACTTGGATTTATTAGGAACAAACAAGAGTTTCCCTGCTAACAAAACCACTAGATATTGGATCATGAATTTCATTTGTAGGTCTTTCCACTTCATCATTTATACATTTGTTATTGTTTTTTCTTTTTTTAAGCTATTGTTCCCCAGGGTCATCTTCAAATCCCTTCTCATTGAATCTTGTGGTGGCCAAGGACAAAAAATGTTTTATTAAGTAGGAATTGTACAAGGTTTTGCTTTTGTTAATAATGCTGTTGTCTGTAGTAGCTCAAAAAGGCCAGCACAGAACACTATTTTTAGTTTCTGCTTCAGTGTTATTTTTCTTTCTATCAAACTTGAAACTTCCCCCGTGTTTCCATCATCAGGGTTTTGGTGTCAATTCGACACTGACATACTTTACAAAATCGATCCCAGAAATAAGTAAAGCTGCCAAGTTCTTCACCGGTTAGTCTGAATAATTACACTGAGGCCAAAGGGTGAAGTCTACGAGGATGGAAACTTTCTCAGCTGCCGCCCACTTGTGTAACCCACAGCAAAAGTTCATGTGCAGAAAAAGTGATTACTCTGATTACTTTTTTCTCAAGATTGATGGTGTAAAAAAAAATAAAAATAAATAACAGTGCGAGCCGAGGTGTTGAATTCTCAGTAATGCATTTGTCCAACAGGGAGCTGAAGGTGGTGACTGGAGAGTGGTTCCTGGAAGAGAGGTCCAAGCGCTTTGAACAAGGAGTGCTGAGCAGCGACGTGATCAAACAGACAATCCTGAACAGCCCGACGAGTGAGTCTGACCATTAATGCACTTTACACTGCAAGGCTGTAACCCAAACCATAAATGAATACTGTGGAAATAGCATGTGAGGTGGTGTAGGAGCCTAGAAAATGTCCTGATTTTATTAATCAATTACTGGTGCTTTTAAGCCACAGAAAAAAAGTCTACAGAGAACCTGTCGGCCCCCTCTGAGCCTGAAAAATCCAGCTCGCCGAGATCCAACAGAAGTGCAGCACTCAACGTGGTGGACGGTGCCAAGAGGAAAGGGTGAGGAGGGAACACAGAGAACAAGCAGCTGTCTGCTTAATGAAATTTCATAACATGAAAGCATGAAACAGGCAGGACACGCGGTATGTGGACGGGATAAAATCATCTCACGCCAAATGTGCAGTGTGTTGAGAGCGCACTTCAGTACGAAAAGCATTAGAAAAGATCAAGTGGGCGCTCATTTGATTTTTCGGAGACTCTGAATGCATTTTAAAGTACATTTGGTAGAGCTGCAAAGCCGTAATTGGATTGTGTCGTCTAACATCACTCCTCATCTTCGCTGGGCTGTAATGTTTCCTGAAGGCAGACAGACAAAAAGCACGCCAGCTCTGCTCAACAATATGTGTTAGGGATGCTCTGGTCTCACAGACTCACTCAGCTGCTGCTGTTTCAACATCACAGCGAGTCGCGAGTGGTGAACGCTTCCTGTATTATTCATCACTCGCAGTGAACATCAGAAGTATTTAGACAGTTACACAGTTTTGTTATCTATAAAATATCATTCAAATTCATCATCTGAGTGGCTGTTCCACATTTCAAAACCAAACTTCATGGGGATGCTGGTTGATCACCAGCTTCAGTAGACTTCATCCTCTGGGGACCATGAAAGATATTTATGCTGTGTAGCTCTAGCATGGCTGAAAGTTCTGCATCTGCACAATCACTTAATTCCAGGTTTCTTGTCATTTTCTGCACAAAAACAACCAAGGGAGCATTTTTCTGTATGAACCACATTTAGAAAACATCATGGCCACTGGTTTAAAAGATGTTGAGCACAAATATTTAATAGTAAACTATTTTTTCACCAACAATTCGAGGATGTTGACTGAATCTTCACATTTACCTCACGGGGATTTCGCAATTGTGAAAATTTTCATCCTGCAAGATCTAAGCAGGGACAGTACTCACAACCTAAATGTTGCCAACCCAAGTCCTAATCTAGTGAAGAGAATACACACCACAGGCATATTCTGCATAGATAATAGTACTAAATAATGGCAAAGTTGTAATTCATAAGTACTTGCATAAATTCTTATTTTACATTAATGGACACAACAATGTCATGGAAGCTTCTTGTTGGCAGCACACAGCCCACGTAGATCCACATTTATGACATTTTACATGAAACACTGAATGTGATGAGATTTCATCTTTCTGTAGATGATCTAGGAATAATGAGTATTACTCTCTTTCACTCTACAACTGAACAAATTATTAAAATAATGCTATTACTGTGTGTTTCCAGACACACTGATGTTGTAACTTTACTTTAAGTGGTTGAAAAAAGGCTGAAAAGAGGTCTTAGATGTTCAGACCAAATACCAACCAGTTTTCAGCAAGAATGCAGCTATAATAATGTTTCCAATGTCTAGGCTGGATATGTTTATTATGTTTCGTATCCTTCTTTAAACTGTAACTAACATGATTCAGAGACGGGTTTTCTATATAAAATAAAGAAATGCTCTATTTTACAGTTGTCATTTGGGCTGTAATCTTAAATAAATTAAATAAATAAAAAAACTCGAGAATGAAATGAAGTCATTTTAAAGCATTCACAACGTTTTAATCACATTATAGGGGCTACAACCACTTTTTGGCAAGTGGAAAACTGCATTATATGAGCTAAATTGATTCTGTGACGCTGTTTCAACCGATAAAAGCAACTGGATCGGTTGTAATCCTGCAAAGAGCAGGTAAAATAATGCAGAGACATTAGGATAATTGCTTCCACAGACAGCAATCAGTTTTTGTCAAACTATTACTTTTTTGCACAACACCAGGTTGTGCTCACTGGGAACCGACACAGTGGAAATAATTAATGAAAATAATTAAAATATGATAATGTACCAGGGTTGATGATCCCTAATTACAGTATATTTCCTCTGTAGAATGCAAAATGAGTGACTGAGATGATCTGATAAAGTCAAGAGAGATGCAGCGTGATAGCTCCGCAATAATGGCCGTGACTGAACGTTTCAGTCGTATTAAGTCGATAACAGAGTCCCTGTGTGTTTGTGTGTCTGTGTGTAGAAGGATGAAGATGGATAAAAAAGGCAGCCGACCCACCCAGAAGCCAGAGAATGGAGTCGACAGCGTCAGTGTCAAGTCTGGTTCGGATGGAGACGCTCAAAGCATCCGAAGCGCTCGCTCTGCTCCACATTCAAACAGGTGTTTACCGCTCAGTCTGCCTGCACACGGGCTGAACTGTACACTGACAAATCACTCATTTCTTTGACTATGTTGATCTGCTGTGTATGCGTGCCCCTACCCAATGCTTGCATTGCCTGGACACTGTGCACCATGGCGCTTTGACGGTTGTCACAGGCTCCAAAGCTCTCACTCACCATTGCACCCTAATACATGCCAGGGTTCAGTGGCCCTCCCTGACCATGTGCAGACTCACACATTGGTGTGATTGTATTGAGAAATCCATCCTTGGTCTGCTCCCCTCTTACCTTTGTGGGTATATTTTATTTAAAACCAGTAATTACTGTCTGCGCTCGAATGACACCCTTTTATTGTCTGTCCCTGAGGTTTGCACTGAACTTGGCAAACAGGCTTTTATGTTCTCTGCCCCTGAAGCCTGGAATCACTTGCAGACTGAACTACAGCTACAAGAGCTGATCCTGATTAGGGCTTTTGAAAAATGTGGTGAAGGGTATAAAGGCTGATTCCACTGGAGTATGTAAATGCTTTCCTTCTTAGCCAATTAGGATTCCTCCTGTTTAGGCCAGTTGTTACTGTATGTTTTATAATGCATGTGTTTTTAAACGTTAGATGTATACAACTGTTACTCAGTGCTGCTGCCGTCTTAACCAGGGCTCCCTTGAAAAAGAGATCTTGCAATCTCAATGGGAGTCATCTGGTTAAATAAAGGTTAAATGAAAAAAAAATCCAATTATATTATCAAAATGCAACAACACAACACTGTACATCATATAAAAGCTGCAGGAGATTTCACATAAACAAGGCTTTCTATTAACACTGCTGCAGCTTTGTGTCAGTATCCACAGGGAAACACCAACATGTGAAGGAAGACAATCAGCATCTAAATAGATTCTGAGCTAAAGAAACAAGCGTAGAAGGAAAATCAGATGGCTGTGGCAGTTTGTGAAAGCACCTGTCTTTACTCTGCTGGTTTGTCTCTGGTTTTCAGGAGCAGTGCGGTGGCGTTGGAGTCCTCAGGGATGCCCACGGTACCCAACAATCTGCGTTCCAAAACTCCGGACAAATCATCCACGCCCAGCGAAAACCGGAGGGTCAGGGTCAGCGACCAGTACACACAGACAGCAGCACTACTACGGGTGGAAAACCAAACAGGTTTAATGTGTTATTATAAACGCTTTGTGTTCTAACGCAGCCCGACGGAGCAGAGAGCGTTGCCAGTTTGCACTCCAGCGACGGTGCATCTGAGAAGAAATCCACCGGCCACCACAGGACGAACTCTGGCACTCCGACCATTTCTGTGTCCAGGGCCTCGGTCTCGTCAGGTAGCTTCACTACAAGCTCTCGTCTTTTTTTTTTTCTTTTCTTTCCTCTCCGCGTTGCCGTGACTTCTTCACGGCTCACACACAAACATTTCGATAACTGAGTCACAGTTTCAAGACTTGTTAGAGGCAGCAGATTGCATCAGAGGTGAAATTAAACAGTGTAACATCACCTCTGTGGGTTGATGCAAAAACACTCAGCTGCTCTCAGACTGCAAAGGATAAAATTACTCCTTCTGTTGGGAGCAGATGTCACGTCTGCACAAATTACACTATTAACTTACACTCACTCAAAACCTTCTGATGCTCTTCTTTATGTGTCGAACTACCCTCTCATTTAAGTATAATCTCCTCCACTTTGTCTCGCACGGTGTCAGAGCGTTTATCTCCGCTCTTAACTGCTGTTAAAAAGTGTGGCGAGACTTTAAAAATTGCTCCGATTAGCGTCATTACTTGTTAAAGAGCTGCTGGAGAGTCTGAGGCCATGTATCCAGCGGTGTATATGCTGAAGATGCTGTGTAGCGTTTTCATTTTCTCCAGTTTAAGAATAGATCTTTTTTTAAGATTAGTGTACTTTTCTGTCATTTTATTCCTCGGTTTGTGCCTGAGTGTAAGGTCGATAAGGACAGCTTCTCCCCGGAGGAGTCCTCAGATGTTGGCTCTGTTTCAAAATCTCAGACAAGAACTTGTGGTAAAGCTGCCTCCAGCGACTTTGGACCAAGTTTTGTAGTTTTGTCTGCCGGGAGTTTTGTACAGTTATTAAAATTCAAAATCTAGCTCAACTTTTCTTTGTCTGTTTTTACACAAATGTAAAGGAATACTAAGTTAGTCGAGAAGATATTGATGTCATGTGTTCAAAAGAGGGGAGAACAGCCACAGCTATCGCCAAAGTTCAACAATACACCTTCCAGCTCGGAAGCTTAATAAATAGCATCTCATTTGTTTAATCCAAACGCAAACAGTCTTCTTGAAACCTTTTTAAAACCCAAAAACGCAAGCTCCAAAGTGCTGCTTATACAGTCAGGTGTAAAAGTTTAGAAACCCCATCAGCAAACTGGGAAAAATTAGATTTTCTTTGAATGTTAAAGCACTGTTAGTTTTTATTTCATAAACTTAAAATGGAATAAAAAATAAACAGTAATTATAGAATGTGTCTCAGGAAGCCATTAACTTGTTCAGTCTTAATTAACTCATTAGTACTTGTGAAAAAAGGTCAACAGTTGTCAGCTGATGACACGTCCAGCACTGATTAACTCTCTGACTCTTCATATCTTATGGTAACATTTAGCAACTGACAGCGGATCAGAAATGAAGCTAACTGATGCCAAGAAAGCGGGAGCCAGATATAAAAAGCTATTTTCTGGCTTGTAGCTTCCACTGTCGAAAAAGTCATTAAGAAAGTTATGGGAAACTGTGGAAGTCAAGATGAGATCAGGAAGTAAACTTTCAGCAAAGCTGCTTGTCTGCTGGCCAGAAAGGCAAAGAAACAACACTGTGTGACTGCAGGAAGCTGAAACAGGGGAGGTGGTGAGGCGGTGATGCGTGGAAAAGTCAGAAGGAAACCCCGCCTGCAACCTGCACATTATTCTAACACACTTTAGCAGAAGAAAATAAGCAGAGTTACTCATAGGTTTATTGTAACTATGCAGAGAGCAAAAAAACCCAAACTGGTCTCCAGAGCAACTAACTAATGTCACAAAATGCATTAATGTAACTGGGATTCTTTACCGTGCACAATGTGCGTCAGAGACCCACCAATTCATCATAATCGCCTGATTCAGCCCTTGTGTTTAGGAGCTGCATGTCAGCCGCTGTTCAGCCTCTTATGTGTCCTGAACATGGTGGATTCACACAATGTCCTCTGAGCACGCGAAATGACACAGTAGGTCTGACGAAACAGTCTTATTAAAGCTGTCGTGTACAGTTCACACGTGGTTATTTACTTTCATGGCATTTAGCTGATGTGATTATATATTTCTGCATGGATATTAAATATATTCAAACACGTCACACAGCGTAAATATTTTAACACTTTATTATAATTTTTCTCATCACAAAAGTCACCATCTGAAGTAAAAAGAGCAACATTTGGACAAGCTGTGAAGGAAAAATTACTTTCCTCTCTTGGAGTTAAGCTTCTTGAGAGGGCACTGAACTTTCCCCTTAGCTCCTCTGCTTGACCTCCTTATATAAAAGTAGTGTTTGTAACAGATTTGTGCTAGTCTGCAAATCTTCTGTAGATTCTTGACCTCATGTAGATCTATTGTGGGAGGACAGGCAACCACTCCCTGTACTTCTCAAGGCCAGGTTGCACCAAGGCGCCAGGCTATCCTTTGTTTTCCTCTTACTTAAATCTAGATGTGGTTCCCACCGTAGGAGGGTATAGGAGAGAAGGTGTGAGAGAAATCCTCAGACCTGATGCTGGCATCGCATGCGTGAACTGCTGCTCTGTTAGTCTCCTGAATTCAGTAAACCTTTGTCTCTGGTGTGTCTCTCTGTGTCGGGTTCCTCATCCTACATCAACCTCTTCCACAACTCCACAACACAAGCCACAGTTCTTTTAGAAGTTTGGACAGATGAAGTTCAAAATAAGTTTGCATGCACATAAAAAAAAATTAAAAATTAAAAAAAGAAGCAGCTTTTGCACTTTTCCAACTGTTAAACATGAGGTTGGAAATAATCTGCTTTGGGTGGCAGCCAGAGGAACGGACAGGAATCTGCAAACCTTGGTCAAGAAAGTACAACTGAAAGATGCTGGCTTCAATAATAAATCTGTAGGTAGATCTTAAATTATCTGTGTGAACAACTCATCTTAAAATGTCTCAGAACTTGAAGTGATCTGCAACAAAGAGGGGATGAAAAAAATCCTCAGTCAAGAACTGAAAGACTCTTTAAAAGAAATAATGTAAAAAGCTTACAAGAATACTAAGATGCCCAAACTTGCCTCTATTTGTTAGTGTTCATCTTTTGAAACTGTATGTGTTTTGATGTGCTCCACTGTACCCTCCCTTCCTGCACCAGATCACAGTCGCTCAGAAATGGACCTGTCAGCTCCCGGTTCTGATCCCAGCGATGATGCTCTCAGCCTCAGAAGCCGCTCAGTCCCTGGACTCAACGAAACAGTAAGCGGCACCGGCCTTCCCTCCCTCCTCCCTCCATTTCACTGCATCACACGTTCGATTTCTGCGACTAATTCCCCAAAAATCGAAGCCAAAAGCTCTGAGCGTGAAATTAACACAGCCTGATTTTTCAATCCGTGCCCCCTTTTTAAAAAAAAAAAAAAACAAAACAAATCCACACTCTACTATACTGTAGAGCATAACAACACCCAGCTCGGGATCTGTGGGCCGATGAACTCAATGCGTCAGATGTGGGCCTGAATGTTAATTTCACTTCAGAGCTCACTTCAAAGAGCACGACAAGCATCTAAACAGATGTAGACTGCAAACAGGTGGAGGATGTGACCGTCAGTATAGGGCCGCTTTGTGTGAACATTTGCATTCAAAGCAGTTTAACTGAAACACTCAAGAGACACAAACGATTTTTTTTTTCTTACTCATCCATTCACGCGCACAACTTTATGATGAACTCGGTGACACTGTGATTTTTTTTTTTTTCTTTCTTTCACGTGAAAATCAAATTACCACACTCTGCCCGGACTTGTCTGATTGAATTTCTGGAAGCTGCCGCCCACACAGCTGCTGCGTGGAGCACAGAGAGGCTCTGGACAGCCACCCAGATGTCACCTTCCCATTTTCAGATTAAATGTGAACGCTGTCATCCGCAGGAGTTTTCTGACGAGGACGCAGAGGAAGACATTGACGCCCTGATGTCGGCCCACAGCAAGACTGTCAGCCGGCGCCTCAGCAACGCAGTGTCAACGGTAACGCCCCGTGTTTCGGAAAAAGAACAGATTCTGGGAAATCCTGTGTGCTCACATGCAGTACAAACATGTTCACGCTCTGTACACTCACATCAACTCACCATCACCTGACGCGTGAGTCAGGTGTGCATGTTTCAGTGTTGACCGTGTAAACACAGTGTGAGCAACTTGTGTCACGATCACTTTTCCACGCTTAGGAAGCCGCGCTGCGTTTACATAAACCAACTCCGCTCAGTAGTACGATCGTGTGAAGGGTCGCTGCTTTGTGTGCGACAACAACATGCACGGCTGAAGCATGTTTTTGTGCAGATTAATGAACCTGTGCTTTTTGTGGGGAATAATTATAGTTGCCCATCGATGGGCAACTATAGAGTAATTGTGTCTGTGTGTTTTTGTGTGTGTGTTCTCTTTGTCTATTAACAGTCTAGTGCTTTACAGGAGAGGAGTTTGAACCTGAAACTTCATATATGACCTCGGTGTGGTCCCTTCTCAGAGTGATTAGATTTTGGGGTCAATACATGCATTGGTGACCGCTACAGAGGTCAAAGGTCGCATTTCCCAACAACAGCTCTGTATAGTGAAAATGCACAAACAGACATAAGTTTAGTACACTAACTTAGGAAGACATTCAGGGCCTATAAAGTGGTGATGTAACATATGACCTTGAGAGAAAGGTCAAGGTCACACCAAAGGTCTGAGATCATCACAAATTTTAAATCTATTATAACCTGGAAAAGGTGTAAGATAAACACGTAGTTTTTAAATTACAATCAGATAGGAACCCATATTGGTGATGTGACATTTGACAATGGATGAAAGGTCAAGGTCAAACTCATGATCATACATCTTAGGTGCTTTGATGTAGGCGTAAATTACAGCAAAACGCTTCCCCTACATGCAAAACATCTGTGTTACATTATGCACCATTTTAAGGCAAAATCAAGGAAAGTTCATCCTCAAGTAGACGCACAACAAACACAAAATCAGGTAAACATGCATACATTGGGCAGCCATGTCTCTACCGAGGGCTCTCCAGTTAGAAAATCAAGTCAGTTCGGATGGTGATGTTTATCTGAGCAGATGGTTTTATTTGTGCTGGTTTCGTGTCATCTGCCTCTTTCTACTCTACAAAGTTGAGCTAAACGTGTGTTCATATGAATGCAACGTGACATCTGAAGCTTCTCTCGTCGATTTTTTAAATTAGCAATAGATCAACTGACTGTGTTACGTGATAAGTAGCTTTTAATGACGGACCCTCAGCTCTGCTCTAAGTGTCTTCGGGCTCATTGTTTTGGTTTTCCAGCCTGCAACTTTAAGATTCCACAGTACTGGCACAAAAAATCGTTCTGTAATGAATGTCAGACTCTGCAACTGATTGCGTAGTGAGTCATATTTGACGTCGACATCTCACGGCTAAAAGACTGGCAATTTTTGTACCTTCTCGCTTAGCATTTCTCTCACAATGGGGGCTCAAATCGCTCTTCCACAAACAACATGGTGAAGATTGAGATGATACAAAAAAAGGTAGACGCTCACATGAAACACAATAAAAGTAAGAGAAATTGTAAAAGGGACACAAGGAAAGCAAAAAAAAGACAAAAAAAACTGTAGCGTCTTCTGGTTTAATGCAGTAAGTATAAAGAAGAAAGGAGGAAAATGGTTGCAGGGCTACAGAGGCTGAACTGAGAAGAGGCCAGGATTAAAGATCTGCTCAAGTTTAGCGACATGCTGCAGGGTAGACAATCAATATTTAGGTTTTTGAAAACAATCAGACTAATTGCAAGAGGGTTAGTCCATTTCAAATCATTGGGCGCCCTTTTGCCCGACAATCTCTAATTTGCTTGAAACCTTTTTATCTTAAAATATGGATATTTAAAATTACATATGTGAAACTTTACATTGACATACCAAGTACCATCTGAGAGGATTTATTTTTTCTAAATTGGCCGTTGACCCACTTTCAGTTCTTGCATAAAAATTTGAGGTTATGTTTGAATGACAGTATTTCAGGAACTATTAAAAATGAAAGCCTGACATTTTCACTGTTATTTCTCATATTAGCATTGATGCAGAATCTGCAATATTGAACAAGTAAATCAAATAATCTCAGATTATGGGTGAGTTGAAATAAAAAAATAAATACATAAAACAATGAAGTTGTCATCAAAAGTCTTATCTTTGAGCACGCATTTACAAAAAAAAAATCAATTAAAAAGTCATGTAATGATGTTTTCTGAACTATATGTAGTTCCATGTCACAAAAATAAATAATACAAAAAAACCATACAGGATAAATTTTGATATGAAATAACTGGTAACTAGGAGAATCATCTTTTTTAGCATGAGCATATTTTTCAGTTTCAGACCCCACCTTGTAGGTATAAACCCGGTTTGCAGGACATATTACAGAATCTGAATCAATAGCATGATGAGACAACAGAGAAACAGTAAAGATTTCAGGCTTTTATTTTAATTAGTTCCTGAGATATTGTCATTCAAACGAAACCTCAGATTTCAAAAAACATGGTGAAAGTGGGTCTACTGGCAAATTTTCTTGTTTCTGGTAATTGGTCTGTAGCAGCTTCCTTCTGATAACGACACAAAGGTCCTGAAAGACGGCAAGCTGGTGAACGTAGTGAAGCTTTTAGATGCTTAAGAGCCACAGATTTTCATTGAGAGTTAACTAAGATCAAAACCTGAGCTAATCAGAGGATAATTTGGACTTCAAGTGAATTCTAGTGTTAATCTGACTGGATGTCTAAATAGGAAACTGCTTTACAACATATTTAACTCAGCGACTTCTCACTGCATCACAGCAAACAGTCCAGCTTTCAGTGTGTTCTTGTGTTTGTATTCTGTGTTTTACTTTTGATAACGAGAAACAAAGGATGCCATTCATCAGTCCAACAACACCTCGACAAGAACAGCAACAACCAGAGGCTGCTTTAAATTTTTAACACCAACATCTCTTTTTAGAAACCACGTCCCTGTTACTCTGAATAATCCACACACCTCGCTGTCAACAGTTTTTTATTGTGACTGCAGGAGTAGCAGCCACGTCGATTCAGAGGAGAGATGCTTCAGCTGCTGTTGAAATGTTTAAATGTAATTTTCCAATGCCCTCGTCACAGCGCGCTGAATTGAAATCTGTCCTGTTGAGCTGGAGGCTGAGAGGATGGATATCTGAGAACGCATAAAACCAAAGCCGTCTGCTGGTTTAATTTGATGTTATCGCACATATTAAATTGGAACCCTCGTTTTTATTAGACTTGATTTCCCGTGTTTGCTCTTGACTTGGTCACAAGTTTTCATTTCTTCTGGAGGATCCCTCACAGCCAACTATAAAGCAGATAATCTAGTTATTCAAATTACCTGAATGACACTTCGTGACTCAGTCCACTGTTCTGCTCGAGGGTGTAATTTGAGAGCCGCAGAGGTAAACAGATGAGAGACGTGCTGGATGTGCGACATCTATCGTCCTATTATGACAGCCGTCACTGAGCTGCTGTTGGCTGTATGAATGGACGTGAAAGGAGGTGATGAGTTGCATTATGCAGATAGCTGAGTGTGTCACTGAGTCGAGCTCTAATGTACTCTACTCACTGTTACATTATTCGCTCCGCAGGGCGACTTTGAGGATAATGATGGCACAGATGAGGTAGTATTAGTGGCATTTACAGATGGGTGACAAATAAACTGTCTTATTAAGCTGTTGGACCAACACGTGCCTACGAGGTGTGTCAGAAAAGTTCCAGGACCAGTGTCACAAAAGATATATTTCAAACCCAAACTGACAGTTTTCCCCTTCAGACGATCAACCAGCACGTCTACAAAGAGATCCTGCCGCGTTTGCTTCGTTCAAGAAGAGGCGAGAGTTGTGGCAGGACAAGTCATGGCTGCTTCACCGTGACAACGTGCCTGCTCACGATGCCCTGAGCATCCCACAGTTCCTCGCTGAGAAGAACATCGCAGTGTTGGAGCAACCTCCCTATTCACCCCACCTGGCTCCGTGGGATTTTTTCCTCTTCCCCAAGATCAAGGGGGTCATCAAGGGGACCCCTTTTTGAAGACATGGACGACATCAAGATGGCTGTGACGATAGAACTGCAGAGGATCCCGGAAGAATCCTTCCAGGAGTGCATGGCGGCGTGGCAGAGAAGGCTGGGGAAGTGTGTTAGACTCCAGGGGGAGTACTTGGAAGGGGAAAACTTGTAGTTTGGATTTGAAACACATCTTTTGTGACACCAGTCCTGAAACTTTTTTGACACACCTCAGACAAATAAGCTTTAATGTGCCTTTTCATTGATTGTAAAAGTCAGCTGGAGGTATGAGCACCGTTCTTCTTTCTTGTTGCGATGATGGTGGTGGAGGGCGCCGTCTAACACGTCAGTCCAAAAAGGTGTTCAGTTTGGTTGAGATCCAGTGACTCTGAAGGCCAAACATACGACTCGCATCAGTTTCATCAGACCTTTTAGTGACCCCTCGTCTCCTATGAATGTACTCATCCTGGAAAATAACGCTCACGTAAGGATAGAAATGTTTCATCCCAGGACAAAGATGGTCAATCAGAGCAACTTTCTATTGATGTACAGGGACCTTTCCTCTAATAGGATAAGTGGATGCAAACCACAGCAGCAAAATGCCCTCATTAGTACAACAAAGCTACTTATCCTTTGTTGTAGGAGTCAAAGGTTTAGGTTTTTCATTGAAAATTTTTATTTTTTTTCCCCCGTCTTTATGTAAGTTTTACGTACTGGTCAAAATAAGCTACACACATTTCAGTGACTTTCTGGAAACACTGGAGTTAATTCGAAGAAGACAGAGTCTACAGCCAGATCAAATTCGTATTTTGAACAGAATTGGCATATTGTGAATGAAAATATCTCTCAATTGAAAGCACAAAACCTCACAGTTTCAATGGCGTTAACAATTTAGGATCAATACAATGGTGCTTTACTTTGGAATAGGACTTCAAATAAGGTTTTAAATTGAAATCCCAGTTTGAAACAATATCATAAATCAATCCCAAAGGCTGCAATTTAGGATATAGGAGATCTGGCTAGTAAATAACAAGACTGATGCTGCATTTCAATTTTATTTCATTTGAATAGACTGGAACTTTTTCTTGCTCGCCCATTTATCTGAGTGGACTACATGGTTCAGTTGCAAACTGACATAAGACTAGTTATTTAATAGCTACACATTGTACATTTTGCAGCGTGTCTCACTAAAGCTGCAGCAATTAATCAATTAATTAATTAATCGATTAGTTGTAAGCTATTGAATTAATGGCCAACTGTTTTGATAAATTGGTTCCAGTAATTTTGAAGAAAACGACTGAAATAATATTATTCTAACCATATAAATTTGGTTTAAGAAGCTGTAATTTTCTGGTTTCTTCTTTCCTCTGTGACTTTAATCTAAACATCTTTGGATTGTGGATAAAACAGGACATTTGAGAATGTCGTCTCGAGCATGTTTTGGCATTTTAAATACTAAACGACTATTTGAGGAGATGATTGACACATTAACAAACAATAAAAATAATCGTTAGTTGCAGTCTGAGACAGGGTTCAAACCTTGTAATAGGAGTGTGAGTTTCTTACATTTCCTGTTGTGTCTAGGGACAGACGGTAGCTGACTCTCTGTGCTGCAGACAGTTTTCACCGCAAGCAAACAAAATGCTTTCAAGGTTTTTGTCTTGTTTAGTAAATAAAAAAGGAGGTGGATGTAAAAGGCTTTAACAGCGAAGTGAGACTGTACAGCAGTGCTTTTGAGTTAAACACTAACTTCATAATGGTAACATGAAAATGTTTAGCAAGTAAATGTTGAGGACAACGTCTAAGTTTAATGGCACAGCTGATGGGAACTACTGCACAGAAGGGGCCACAAAAGTTATTCCAGTTTATTTTGAGGGGAGCAGGAGTGTCTGCCCCAAATATCACGATAAATGCTCCAATATTTGCTCAGGCATTTCACTCAAACTGTAAATGTAAACCTCATCGTAGTGCTGTCAGGGAGAAAAAAAAGGTCCATGAGTGTGTGTGTGAAGCATTTCGTGGTTAAACTGTTTGCCAGAGGAACATTTCACTCCATGTCTCTCTCGCTGTCTGTGTCACATTCATCTGTGCTGATTTCACAGCTGATTCCAGATGAGTTGTGATGTCTGTGGTTTCATCTGATAATCACCATGGTAACGCTGTGTAATGGGGTTTCCTGGTCGTGCTGCTGGAGTCGGGGTCGGCTCCGAGGGTCTGCCTCTATCACTAACGCATCAAACGGCTCTCTGCTTTCTTTTCCTTCTTCTTCCCTCCCCCGTTTTTCTCTCTCTCTGCCTCCTAAATATATCCAGTCCTCCACTCCCTGCTCCGAGAGGCGCTGGGGGTACCTCAATGTCCCCGACTCAGATGCCGAGACTGTAAGTCTCCCCTTCGACGTTAAGTGCATGCATTCACATTCACCTCTACATAATGGAACAGTAAAGGTGCAGCAGCGGCAAAGCACCACAGCATGAATATTACATGCAACATTCAATAATATATTCGGGTTTTTCATAAATATACCATAATATTCTGAATAGATCTGCATGTTCAGTGTATTGGTGCTCATTTATGTTTTTTTTTTTTTATTCATGTGAAGTCTGAGCTCCTGGCATTAAACTCATCATTAATCTCACCGGCTTCCTGCAGGAAATAAATGAGAAAGATTTTCTGGTTTAGTGTGGCTCAGTTCTGGCTTCTTGACTTTTGTGCTCGTTGGGCAGCAACATCATTATTATCAGTGGATTGTGGTTGTTTTTTTTTTCCTGCCCTCAGCTACAGCCGTCATGTTTGCCTGCTGCCCAAGAAATGTTCCAGACATAATTACCTGCTGCGGTGCTAATGGTTTGGAGTCTTTTCTTTGTGAAATAGGTTTTGCAGGTACACAATGTGAGGGAGGAAAATGTGGCAAAAGAATTTCACGTCTTTTAAAATATGATGGACAATCTGTGAAACTCTGCAGCCTCACTGTTAACTCAAAGTTAACTTTCTAGATGATTTATTGGGCTGCCTTGGCACTTTTATAAATTGTCCCAGTTATTCTTCTAATTTATTTATGCTATTTATATTTGTTCTTCTGATTGTATGCATACATAATTACATATATTCTATTGCTTCACAGTGTGGTCTTTGTTTTTTGTGGTTTGTAATTAGAGCCGCAACGATTAGGGATTAATTGAGCCATTTTCAGACACAAAATTAGGTTGCTCTACATTCTCAGTTGTGATGTTTTCCTGCTTCTGTGCATCTTATGTAATCGTGAAGTCGGTATATTTTGGGTTATGGGCCTCTACTGAGAAAGAAATAAGGAATCTGAAGGCTTCAGATAGCTCTGACTGGCATTTTTCACAACATTTTGACATTTTTAAGAACATTAATAGATTAGTTGAGCAAATAATAGTCATATTGATCAAAAGATATGTATATTTTCTTTTAGTTTTTATTATTTGCAATATAAGCGAGATGTCTGCTGTACAAATTAGATGATGAGTGCACTTGTTCTCGTTTAAAATTCACTTTTCTTAAAAAGAAAAAAGAAAACAACTACTTTCTAAAACCCATAAAACATAAATTAGCATCACTAATTGCCTTGTCATCATTTACTCAGCTTCCCTTCACTTATTTGTAACAGAAGCAATGTTTACATGCATCATTTAAGGGGAATCGGCTTCATTACACATCCTTTCGTATGTGAGAAAACTTCCAAACTCACCATCCTTATTCTAGTTCCAGAAACACAGAAGTACAGAACCTTATTTTCTCGATACAAACACAGCGCGCACAGTGAATCTTTTTTATCTATATAAACTTCTAGTAGTCGTGTTGTGTAATTGTTTATGACACGAGCCTCGCTCTGCCTCAGATTGTATTCCATTCATGTTCACAAAGGGCAGCGGTGGTTGTATTTCTTCTGTATTTCATCAGCTGTCTTTCACACTTTAGATGCTGTTGTTGTTTTCCCTTTTCTTGCATCACACGCTGCTCTGTTTTCCCCCTTCCTTCTTCCTCCTTTAACCTTCTTAACTCTCTCCTTTCTGGCCTCACAGAGCAGCATAAACAGCATGATGAGCATGTACAGCGAGACCGGTGACTATGGCAACGCCAGGGTGAGCGGTGAGATCCTGCTGAACATCAGCTACAGCTACAAAACGGGCGCGCTCAACGTCCTGGTGAAGGAGTGTCACAACCTGGCAACCGGAGACGAGAGGAGGCAACGCACGGACGCGTAAGAGGACGCAAAGCACAGATGAGAAGTGTGCAGAGACGATTTAACATGAAGCCTGATGATAACAGTTTGCTCATTGCAGATACATATCATTATTGGTATATGTGGAGAGAAAATGCAAAAACAAACTGGAGCGCAGAAATCAAACATTTCATAGGATACTTTTTTTACAGTCGTCCTCAAATGTTTTCATACCCTCCCATTAAAGAAGGAAAAAAAACAACTGTCACTGAAATATGTTGAAATTGATAAAAGTAACAATACATAAATATTTAATGAAAACATTGACATTGGTTTTGAATTGTGGTTCAACAGAAATATATATATATATATACCATTATGGGACCCATAAACTCATATTTTGTTGAACAACCCTTTGAGCCAATCACTGCAATCAAGTGTTTTCTGTAACTCTCAATCAGACTTCTGCACCTGTTGACAGCTATTTGGATTTTGGTCCACTGCTCATCGGCAAAGTGCTCTAATTTGTCCGCAGCTCAGTTTTGTTGTTGTTGTTGTTGTTTTAGATATAATTATTATTCTTTTCAACCACAATTCAAAAGCAATGTCTTATTTCACTAAATTGTAATTTAGCAAATTTTTATTTATTGTTACTTTTTTCACTTTCTACTTATTTGAGTGACTATTATGAATTTTGCCTTTTCTTTAATGGAAGGATATGAATACATTTGAGGACGACTGTACGGGCATTTCATCAAGATTTTTTTTTTATTAACTGAATACAATTTGGAGAATAATATAATATGACACTGCCTTTATTAAAGGAGGAATGACAGCCAACTATATTTGATTTGTATTATTCTCTGGTTATTGTTTGACCTCCACAGTCCTGTATTTCTTTACCCTAAATTATCTCTTGAAGGATTTAGAGGACTCTCTAATACCATGTTGCCGGGATACAAACAGACAAACAAACAGTGTTCAAATTAGTGTATCCTTTCTACTCCTATAGAGCATGACTGAGTCACTGTGTCTTTGTCACGGCAGCTATGTGAAGACCTACCTGCTGCCGGATACGTCACGACAGAGCAAGAGAAAGACGAGCATCAAGGCCAACACTATTAACCCTGTTTTCAATGAGAATCTGAGGGTAGGTGGCAGAAAAACTCAATAAGCTCAGATGAATTTCCGTATTCTTAACTCTCATCACAAGGCAAGGTTGAGCTGATGTATTTCATTTTGCTGTCGTTGGTTAGTATGTGATCAGCCACTCGCAGCTGGAGACACGGACCCTGCAGGTGTCCGTTTGGCATCACGACCGCTTCGGACACAACAGCTTCCTGGGAGAGGTGGAGCTGACCTTTGACTCCTGGGAGTTCGATTCCCAAATAGAGGAGTGGTACGCTCTGCAGCCCAAGGTAGGAGCCAGGAGCAAAACGTGTTGTCAAATTCAGTCATCATTGTCCAAGTGTTTGAGGGGTTTGTTTTTCCCGTGTAGGTGGAGAACAGTATAGACTGTACAATGCAGTATAAAGGAGAGCTGACCGTCGTGTTGAAGTACATACCAGCAGAGAAGAATCTCATGCTGCCTCTGGACCAAGTACAAGGTACATCCATAACTGTGGTGACCATTTTACTTCACTTTATATATATATATGAAATACCTTCAAATCATGTTATTCCGCACAGCCTGACAAATTCAGTATATTCTTATATTATCTCTTCAAGTGAAGTTTTTAAATCCAAGACGCCAAACTTCAGCTTGTTTGATATTCTGGAAACTTTGGGATCATCATTAAATCTTAAAATAAAGTTCTGAGGGTTTGCACAATTTTGGCTGCCCAGCATGAGTTTGAGATCATGAGTGACCCTCTGGAGTTGCTGATTGTTAACAAGGATAAATATATCTGTTCCCAACCCAGTTACATCTAAAATTAAACGCTTCCTACCCCTCCATCTGACCTGAAAAAAAGTTGTTTATGTGCTAATAACTCTCCAATTTTCAGTGTTTTTATTCCCACGTATTGGGCTGCTGCTACGCTACAGTCAAAATAGAAAAACAAAAAAGCTGTTCATGTTCTCTGAGTCTTTTGGAAAAGGTCCTTATTTGTGCTCTGACCTCCTGCTTGTTATCAAATCCAAAATGTTGTGGATAAAGCACTGCATGGTCTGTCACAGGCTAACAGAT